TCCATGGGCAGAGGGGCACCTTCCACTGGTCCCTCACCTCTTCCCTGTTCTTCCAAGCTCGGTCCGAAAGACGTCACCCCCAAGTTTCTGAAGCAACTTTTAATCGGAGATAAGAGTAAACAACAGTATAAAATGGTAACAAGTCGAGAAGTTTCCAAAATTCTGCTCCTGATTGACCGTTCCATTGCCCCCAAGTACCATTGAGTAAAAAAAACAACAAAAAAAAAAAAGAGAGAAGCAGAGCCCTCGGTGTGGCTGCTCTTCCAGCCCCGCGTTCCTCCACAGCTGCGGCATCAGAGCAGCAACATTCACTTCTGTCTCGGGGTACAGGACCAAAACATCTCATTTTTTTGGAGGGTTAAACCCCCGGCCCACCAGTTCTGATCCTCCCTCCGATCCCAGCGTAGCCAACTGGATCCAGTAGGTCTAGAAAAAGTCTTCGAAACCACAATTTGCAACAGGAAGAAAAAACAAAACAAAACAAAACAAAACACCCAACCAATTTAAAAGGCCTGGATTGTGCTGGTTGTCTCAGGGGCAATAAACCACCCCCCTCCCTCCCTCCCTCCCCCCCTCCTTGCAGAAGGCTTTGGTCAAGACTTCAGAGGGGTTTGCAGCACCAAAAGAGGCAGCAGAACGCCGGGCTGGTCCCTGGTGACAGCGGAGATGAGCAGCTGGGACCTCCTCAGCACCCCGGGGCGAGCCAGGGCAGCGGTTCTGGGGCAGCACAGTTCAAAGCTCGGCTGGGAGAAGAGTCTCTGCCTCAGCCAGGGCAGTTTGGACGTGGAACCTGCGTTCTCCCGCGCTCTGAAGTGGCTCCTGGAGCGCGTCGAGAGGTGCTGGGCCGTCACCCCGCCGGCCTCGTCCGAACCTGCCGTTGCCTCGAGGTGATCCCAGTGAAAACCAGTCTGTCCCAAACAAAGACACCTCTGCGAATATCAACAGGAACTCGGGGTTTGGGGTGGGGGGTTGTTTGGTGGGGTTTTTTTTTTTTTTTTTTGTACTTTTGAAGTACAAAACGGCTCGAGGTGGAATCCGCAGCGGCCATCAGCTTTGTTGTCCCTCCTGCTGCCCAAACAAAGCCTCGGGCTGGTCAGGGTTGTGCCCGTTTCGGGTTTGCTGGAGGTTTCTGGGGAAGGGGGTTTTGTTGTTGTTGTTGCTGGTTTTTTTTTTTTGGTTTTTTTTTTTTTTTTTGATTAAAGATCACTTGGGAATGTGGAGCTCAACGCAACTAGATATTGAAAGAGAAGTCCGTGCTCGCTCAAGGCCAGCCCAGGGCCTTTACTCCTCTCCTGTCCACTGGCCACCGGCCACGTGGCCGTTGAGGCGGTTGGAGCCGTTGCTGGAAGTGCTGGGAACTCCTTTTGTGCTGTTGCAGGTCACATCCTCCTCCTCAGAGCTGCTCTCCACGTCACTGCGGTCATCCTTGGACACCTGAGAGGCGGCCGGTGGAATTGGGGAGTGGGAGAGGGAGGAGGAGGAGGGGGGGAGTTGGAAAAAGGCACAGAAAACAGCAGTTAGAGGGGCTGTGCCCACGGGGTGAACCAGCTCCAGTCACACCTGCCTCCTACATTTGGGCCTGGGTCAGTTCAGGCTCCCAGGGAGGATCCTGTCATCGCGTTTAGGAACAAGGCAGACTCTGAAAGTGACAGTCTGGGGAGGTGAGTTCCATTTTCCAGACACTCTGTGCGTCTGTGAAAGCCCTCTGCTCCCTGTGCTCTCACCAGAGCAGAGGACACTACAGATCTGGGGGTGTCCTCGCCTTCCAGGAGCTCCACTCGAGATGGGGGGAAAGGGCATTTTTTCTAAACAGCCCATTTTGACTCAGAAACTTCCCAGGCCATAACCACCAGTGGGCATAATGACCAAAAGCCAGCCATGTATCAGTGTGAGAGAGAACATTTTGTCCCACGGGGAGTGGCTCTGCCGCTGTAAAAATTAACCAGCTGCATTTATCACATCACTGCTTGCACCACCGAGTGCCTCCCCAGTTCCACAGCCTGTGCTTCACCCAGGAGGTCCCACTGAGGAGCCTGTTTGGAGAGCAGGATGGAGAACAAAGGCAGTGTCTGATCCAGCAAAGCCTCTGGGAACGGGAGGAGCCTCATCCCAGAGCTCCAGATCTGCCAGCAGAGTTGTGCCTCAGCTCAGAGCCTGGCTGCAAACCCAGCTGCAAACTGGATCTGTGTGTGTGGGAATCTGAACCTTTCCAGGAGGACTCTGGTGCCACAGCAGGGCCCTATTCCAGCCCTGTGGAGCCAGAAGGGAAAGGGAAGAGCCCACAGACCCGGCCCTGACTGCAAACACACACCAGGGAGAGGTGGCAGGTGCCAGAGGCAAAACCTCCCCAGGCCCCTGCTCTGCTCCTCACTCTCTGCAGCCAGCAGCCCCCATGTGCTCCACGTGCCAGCACTCTGGCTCCCAGCTTTCCAAGGATTCCAGGGTTTCACTCCCTGCTGCCTTCGAGTCAGGGTTAGGGGCCCTGCAGCAGCAGGAAGTGGTTGAACTCCAGGGAAGCTCTGGCAGCAAGCCAGGTGAAGTTAATGATCTCCAGGAGCCTGCTGGATGTCCTGGCCTCTGCCCCTTGCCAGAACTTCTGCTATCTGTCCCCAATCTCCTGCTATGCTGGAAGTTCAGAGGGTCACTGGAAGGAAGCAGAAATCCCTTGGATTTTTTCCCGTTATTGGGGGATCAGGGACTGTTTTACTCCCTTTCACAGTTTTCTCCTGTCCTCTGCCCCTCAGGGCGGTGCTGACGAGGAGCCAAGACAGAAATCTGAGTGTCTGTGTGTAAAAGCAGAAAGTGAAGGTCATGCAGGCAGGTGACAGCAGGTAAGATCAGACCCCAGGACACTGCTCTGCCCTTTGGAAAAACCTGCATTTTGGCACTTTGTCGGGAGCAGGGAGAGAAGGAGAAGGCACCAAAGCCCCAAGACTTGGAGCTCTGCTTTTGTCCTGGCCTCGACACGGAGGTGTTTCAGTGAACAAAGAGAACCACGGGTCACACTTACATGCAAAGGGTGGAACTGTCCAGCTCCAATCTGGCACAGAGAAAAGGAGAAAAGAATGAAGGAGACAGAGCTTAGAGTCCTTTCTCTGGCTAGGTCACCTGGACAGGAGAGAACCAAGGAAAGGGAAAAGGTGTAGAACTCAGGATACAGAAACAGCTCCAAAGACAGAAAATCAGGCATTTGCAGTAGCAGTTGTGGGGAACAGATGGAGAGCTCAGAGTCCCAAAACCTGCCTTCCCCCACAGTCCCTGCCACAGGCAAACCAAGACAGAAACATTTCTGAAGGTCACATTCCCTCTGTGCTAAAGTCAAACACAAAATAACGTAGAGTCATGAGAAAAACTCAGCTCAGAACACCAACATCTGACTGGAAAAAAGCATCTGTCCTGCTAATTCAGCTTCTGCTTCTTCATGGAATCATAGAATGGCTTGGGTTGGAACAGGCCATCCAAGGATCATCCAGTTCCAACCTTCCACTAAGGCGCTCCTGGCCTTGAACTGGGTGATCTCAAAGTCCAGCCCAGGCCATCCTGTGATTCTCTGACAACCAGCAAACCCCTCTGCACTCCTGAGAGCCCTTTCCCTCCACGCTGGAGTGCCTGTGCTGACAGGTGAAGATGCACAGCCCTGAGCACATCCCCAGGACCGGCTGAAGTTGGAAAGTTGGAAAAAACATCCTGTGTGTTCATCCTGTAGTTCAAAAAAAAAAAAAGAGCCCGAAACCACCCTGAACTCCAGAGTACCCAGCGAGTCTGTCACCACCGTTACTATTAAAACATCTGAGCACACTGGAAAATGGAGTTATTTCCCTGCAGGCCCAGAACTCAGGAAGCCTCCCTGCCCCTGAACACACCTGCAGAGACACCAAGGTAAAAAAAAAAAAAAAAACAAAAAAACACTTTTCCTGCAGAACTCCTGCTGCAGGTCCCTCGAGAACCAGCCCCAGCCCCCACCGAAGGGCCCAGTTCCTCAGGATTTCCTTGTCAGGGCTCGTGGGGAAGAGGATCCCCCCCCAAGGCCACCCCCAGCCTCACCTTGCCCCGCACCAGGGCCTTGGAGGCCGTGCGGATGATGAGGTAAGACCAGATGATGTGCAGGACCTGCAGGGTCACCAGGAGCCCGTTGAAGAGCCACCAGGAAGGGTAAGGACCGATCAGCTCCCAGCTTTCAAACAGGGTCGTGTTCAGAATCCTAAGAGAGAGCCAAGAACAGGTTTCAGGTCGGCTGTGGGGTGGCAGTTGTGCCGGTCTGGGGGGTGCCAGGCCAGATGCACAGCAGTTTGTGTCTCAACTGAGCATCTGCTGCTTCTGCTCCTGCCAGAGCCAGGAGACGAGACTGAAGCTAATTAGAAACATTTGGGCAACAAACAGAAGATGTGAATGTGCTGCAGTTGGGTTCCACACAGGGGATCTGCTGCCAATTTCCTTCTCCAAGGCACGAGCATTTATTTATAACAACCTCACAAGGAAGTGATGTCAGGCTGCTCTGGTCACCAAAACAACTGTTAACACGTTCCTGCCCGGGCTGTCCTCACCCTTGCATCAAAATTCATGTGGGGACAGGCTTGGGGCAGGGACTGTCCCCCTGTGCTGGCCCTGCTGAGGCCAGTGGGGGACAAGGTGGGCACGTCGGACACAGGGTGGGCTCAGTGATCCTGGAGGGCTTTTCCAGCCTCAGGGATCCTGGGATTCTGTGATCAGAAAGGAATTCTGTTCCCAGTAGGCCTCCCTCCCTCCCTGGGTGCTCCTCTCTTCCCTCAGAGTTTTCCAGATTCCTCCTGCCAGGCTGGAAGCCTCGGAGCTGCTTTATGGCCCAAGCTTTGCGTTTCTTTCATTACTGTTTTGCTGTTCCTGTTGCTGGGAGTTATTGCCAGTCCTTAAAGTAATTTAATAAACACTTTGGATTTTATGGTGCAGAGAGAGGTATGGAGAGACCTTTAACAACATCATTAATTTCACGCAGGCTTTTAACGTTCTACCAGCAAAGCAAAACGAGCCTTTCTCAAACAAGCACCCAAAAAAATGCCCCAAAAGGCAGCTCCAGAAAAATATTTAACTCATAGCAGGTTTATGGAAGGACGAAATGCAATCCCAGAGATCTGCTGATGTTTCATATCACTGACCAGGGTGTGGGAATGCACGTGGAGTGAAACAGCCCGGGGTCTGCAGGGCTGTTTCCAGATTCCTCCAGAGAGCTGGGGAATGACATTACAGCCAGTGGAACACACATTCAAGATTTACAGGATGCTGAGCACTGGCGTGAGGGGAGAGCATCCCCTTGTGACAGGCAGGAGCTGCAAAAACAACCCCCAACTCTTCTCGTCTGTCTGTCCCTGGAAGGAGCTTACAAGGAAATAAGAATTAAAGCTCTTCCTCATCCAGGCTCCTTTGGTGCTTTTACTGGAAAATAAGCCAGAGTTTTAGCTGCGAGCCTGATCCTAAAGTGAAAGGAGGGTTCCTGCCCACCAGGCACCCAAAGGGAATGGGAATGTCAGCTGTCCATGGCCCAGGGAATAAATACATGCAGCAAAACATGTAACCAGATTTCCACCAGGAACAATAAACGGACAGCAGCTCGTTAAACAGGAGCACCTCACCAAGCCTGACCTGCTGAGGTGAGAGGGAATCTCATTACAGGATGATTCTCTCTAAGCCATTTATCCAGGGTTTTGCCTCTCAAGAAACCTCAGGCCTATTTCAGGCTCTGAGCAGTCACGACACAAGGACAGGACACGAGGGCCGTAAAAATGAGAAACTGCAGTGATGACTAAGCCAGATCCCAATGAAAATTACCTCAAGAGGCTGAGCCTCGCTGGTAATTATTTCTCAAACTCCTTAAGAGAAGCAAAGAACCCTCCAAGCCTCTCAGAGCAGATTCTGGCTGACTCTGCTCCAGCTAATGAGCTCTGTCATCGCTGCTCAGGAGAGGGACTGGGATTCTGGTCCCTTCTCCCACTCCCTCAGCTGACTGGGGAGAGGTTTCCTCATGTTCCTACTTGAACCTCCTGCCCTGGGCAGCACCTTGGGGGCCTCTGCAGCTTCAGAGGGACAGCCTGGAATGCCTGGGGGGGGGAATCTGAAAAACAAGAGGCTGGGAGGACAAACACGACCTCCCAGCTCCAGGTGCTCACTCACCAGAAAGGGTAAATGCCCAACCGTGTCACGATGAACACGACCCCAAAGAGCATGAAGAAAGCATCACACACCCGCTGGTACTTGGCATAGTTGGCCAGTTTTGCAGCCTAAAAGAGATGAGAAACACGGCAATATTATTGCCTTTGTGCACTCCTGTGATTACCAGGCTGGGGAGCTTCGAGAAACTCTCAGTCACGTCTGTACAGTTTGGAACAATTAGGGATTATTACGATGAATTATTATATATGATGCCATGGGGAGAGACTATTTCCAAGGGTCTGGAGTGACAGGCAAAGGGGAATGGTTTCCCACTGCCAGAGGGCAGGGTTAGGTGGGATATTGGGAAGGAATTCCCCCCTGTGAGGGTGGGGAGACCCTGGAATGGATTTCCCAGAGAAGCCCCATCCCTGCAAGTGCCCAGTGCCAGGCTGGATGGGGCCTGGTGGAACTGGACGACCTCTAAAGGTTCCTCCCAACCCAAACCACACCAGGATTCTCAGCGCCAAGGCAGGCAGGGGGGGAAAAGCTGACAGGGCAGGAGCAGCAGCACAGATTTCGCGGCGCATTGAACGCCGTCTGTGGGGAATGGGGTGGGGGTGTCAGCCCGTGCACCCCCCTGGGATCACAGCAGCTCTCTGGAGGGCAGGGGATTGACAGGATCCTCACCTCCAAAAGGAAATCTGAGGCATCGTGGAGGCACAGCACCAGGGTCCCAACCCGCACCATGTTGTTCATGTAAGAGAAGGTGATGAGTCCGATGGTGGCCAAGTGATGGACGAACATGATCAGGAAGTCCTGGAAACAGGGAGGGGAAAAAAAAAAAACAAAACCCAAAACATAAAGACTCTCTGGCTGTCAAACAGATCCAAAGGTTTGGAACAGAGCCACCAGAGTGGGGTCACAGGATTGCAGGGCTCTGACTCCACCTCATCACACGTCCTGCCCAGCTTTGGTGCTCCTGGAGCCAGAGCTCTGCAGGTACAGGGAGCCCACACCCGGCTCTGTGCCTGCAGAGCCCTCTGGAGTGACTGACAGGACACCATATGGCCCCTATTTTTGGCTCTTGGCACAGAATTCAGTGCTGCTACTGCTGCCAGTGATCAAATCCTGCCAGGGCAGAGCAGGCACAGAACACCAGATAAACCCAGCAGGAAGAGCGAGGCCTCTTCACCACCAAAAAAACGTTTACAGTGCACAATATCCAGCTCAGCCCCCGGGTACAACCCTCCCGTGGCCCTGGAACCTCCCCCTGCTGCAGTGGGGAATGTGATCCACTCATTAAAGTCAAAATTAAACTTTATAAACACCATCCCAGGGGTTGTTAATCACTCCCTGTCTGCAGCTCCACCGTGTCCCGTAGGGGCCTCACCTGCCATTATTTCAGCAATCTCAGGGGTTGGTTTGTTTGTTTGTTTGGTTGGTTGTTTTTTTGAACAGCCAAGGCAAGAATTGGGATAATTTGCTGCTTTGCAGCTCGTGGAACAGCAGCAATAAACCACTGATTCACTGGGAGCTGCTCCCCAGCAGCAACAACGAGCCAAGTCCTGGAGCAGAATTAGACCCGAGCAACTGCGGCCACTCGTCACCTGCTCCACACAGGGATGAAAAATCACTCTCAGAAACCCCATTTATTGCATTAGTGCTTGCCATTTCCTCAGCAGCTTCAGCAGGGTCCTGCTTTGGGCAGCTCGTTTCCTTGCAAGCCTTCTAGTTAAATCTATTTTTTTAAGGCAGTGGTTTTTTGTTAACTTTCGATTGCGAGGCACTGAGTGATTCTGTTCCTCCCCCTGGAAGGTGAGAGGGACTCAAGGCTGCAGGCCAAGCTTGTTTCTCCCTTTCTCCCAGGGCTGGGTAGTGACTACAGGAGGAGGAGCTTTGCTCACATTTTTTGTTACCCCTATTTATTGTTATCACCATTACTGTTAGTTCTTATTTGAGCTGTTAAGTGGTTAATGCAATTTTGGTTCATCTCACCTTCCGTTTAATGTCTGTAAACTGAGAAAACATGAGGGACCAGTAGAAGGCCAGCTCCAAGATATAGTAATAATAAAGCCTGGATGTTAGAGGCTGGAACACAGAGACAGCACAGTTAGAAAGGCAAAACACTTTAAAATTTACACTAAAATCGCTTTTTTTTCCCCCTTCCTCCTTCTCCATCCCGCTCTGCCCCTCCAGAATTGCTGAGGCACAAGTTAAATGATTAAGGTTTAGTAACAACAAAGCTTAAGCAACAGAGGTTTTACTCCAGGCTTACTCACACAACCACACTTGTGTGTCTGAGCTTTATTCCAAAGGAGTAAAATTCCCCTGTCAATATTTACAGCTCCTGCTGAAGCCTCTTGGAGTAGGAAAACCAGGCTCTGGAACAGCCTCTACACAACCAATAAATAAATTACCACGATGATTTTATCCCTTTTTTTTTCCCCCCTACACACACTTTTAATAATCTCAGCAGCCAGTAAACATAAAATGAATGAGTCAGTTGTATCTGAAGAAACTCTGCTGGTGCCAAACCTAACCAGGATGTAAAGACATAAAGGGTGAATGGAGAGCTGTGATCCAGTGCATTAACAAAAATAAAACCTGCCACTGTGTCCAAAAAGTTGGAATTTAGGAAGGGTTTCCTCTCCTACCTGGAAAGGGTAGTTGTACCAGCACTGTCGTGTGTCCCAAAACCAGGGGGCCTGAAGGGAAAGGGAAGTTATTATAGAAATAAGCTTTATAAAACCCCAGGTTTTAACTCCCCACCACCTAAAGACGCTGTTTCACTGACATTTTATCTTGACTCTGCCATTCCAGCTGAATTTACTGTATTAAAACCTTCTTTTTGTGCAGTCAAATGGGAGTTGTACTGCAGTGGAAATTCCAAGAATAACCATACAGCTCTAATAACAATAAAGACCCAAAGAGATGAACCAGTGTCCCTTCAAGAGGGAGAGGAGTTAAAAAAAAGAAGCAGCTCCCCACAGCAAAAAAAAAAAAACCCACACCCAGTTTTGTCCCATTCTGGGGCAACAGGAAAAATAATTTTCTATTATTTCCAAAAATGACAGATCTGTACAGAAGCTTCCCTGCAGAGGAGAAAACCAGGGAACACAAAGATCACCATTAAATCCCCCTCCTTCTAAGCCAGGGGAAAGCACCAAAGAAGAGATAAAATTTAGGGGGGGAAAACCTCTAAATTTTGGCAGGACAGAGAAAACCCAGCTGCAGCCACACAGAGCAGGGGAGGGTGACAGACCAACTCACCGTCCAGAGAAACCTGATTCCATAAAAAAATATACTTAAATAAAATGTAAATCTCCACCTGGAAAGAAAGAAAAAAAAGAAGTGAAAAATAAACTTAGGACAGAGAAGCAGCTTCTGGTTGACAACTGTCACAAAAAACAGTGAGGTAATCGTGGCAAACCCCAATCCTGACACCTCAAAAGCTTTCACTCACCTTCATTCCTAAACATTTCAGGTAAGATAAACCCATTTAGGAGTTTTCACTCCACTGCATCAACAGCCAAGTTTGAAAACTCAGGGTGAACATGCATCATTCATATGCCTTTATAGACAGCAAGATAACAACAAGCAAAGTCATTGTTATCCAGAGCTATCCTACTATACATATTTGTCCCTCTTACCTTGTGGCTTTAAAGCAGACAAAACCACACTGGGGGGAAGAATTAAGGAGAAGAAAGTTACTGGAAAGGAACCAGCACAGGAGAAATGAGCCAGGAAAAAAAAAAAAGAAATATTCAGGTGCTACTCCACTACCAGAGGTGACTGCAGGAGCTCAGGGAGGAAACAGAGAACAAAGAATGAGAAGCAAAGGAAGCCAAGAAGTGGCTGTAACAAAGCCTGTACACTGTGTAAGCCAGAAGGTCACCGTGTCTGGGAACAGACCCCGCCGCTGTGCGGGCAGCAGGCCCCGTTTTTCAGGAGCTTTCCGCTGGATTTGGGCGCGTGCAGACACACAGGGTGCACACCCAGGGTGCCCCGTGGCACGAGGGAGCTGGCCCACTGCCCAAAGCTGCTCCCTGCTGACGGGGCTGACCCCCGGGCACGTGTCGGGGCGTCTCTCAGGCACAGCCGCTCGGAATTTTTGGGGATTTTTAAGAAGCCCTTTCTCGGCCTGCAGGAGAAATCTCGGCCCCGGTTTGGACGAGCAGCTGCCCGTGGGGGTGGGTTGGAGGAGGTGGGGAGGGGGACACACACACACACAGCTGGGGCCTCTCCCAGACATACATGCTCTCACAAAATTTCGTGAGGGTGGTGGGTTTGTCCTGGTTCCTCCGGTGCCGGAACCAGCGCTGGATCTTCCGGACGTCCCAGTCCAGCTGCTTGGACAAGCCTTCCAACCGTTTTGCATCTGGAGACTGAAGGAGAAAAGGAACAAGGGGTCACTCCTCCCACCTCCCAAACCTGCACAGGGACAGGAATGATGCACAGGCGAGCAGAAAACGCGCCAGGAGGGGACTGAAGGAGAGTCTGAGAGCAGGAACCCCCTGCCAAAAAATGTCCGCTCAGGTTCAACCTCCATAAGCCACTAATTACTTAATTATTCAGCGTTTCCTCACCTATTTCACCAGCTGACAAAGGATGCCTTTGTTCAGTGCCTTAATTTGGGGGGAGGAGCTGTTAAAAGTGTCCTGTCCTACCTCTTGAAGCTGCACATCAATTCAAGCGGCCCAAAGCTGAGGCAGAAGTGCCAAGGGGTTGCCACTCGCAACAAGGACAGGGAAACTTTGGGAAACTTTAAAGCAAGAGCTGGTTTAGAAGAGCAGATGTTTGTGTGTTCTAAAGGGCATCGTGGAAATTGGGTTATTTCTGTTATCGAGGCTTATAAACGGAAATAAATCTGAGGACTGAAATAGTTGTGTGATAAAGAACACATCCCTGTTCCTCTGGCTGGGAGTTTGTTTGAATGAGGACAAATGGGTTTATCAGAGGCAAAGTGAGCCAAACCTGGTACTTCCCTCTGCAATGGGCCCAGGGGTGAGATAATCCAAGAGCAGTGCCCTTTTAACAAGCTCTGCCAGGGAGCTCTTACCCCTGACAGATGATAAACACATTTCACTGCTGGAGTTACACACAAACCCCAAAAACTGTGCAGGGTGCTGATTTAACACAAAGTCACCAGTCTGTCCAGCTCAAAGGCAAAGTCACCTGTAATTTGATTTTCGGTGCTGAGAGCTGTGTCCCGCCAGTCCCTCCCAACCAGACCCCTCAGCACTTTACTGGGATTTAATGGTCGGGGCTGACACTGCACTGGTAGGGAATTTGTCTCCAAGGAGGATTCCAGAGCAGCAGAGCAATCCTTCCCCAGCTCCAGTGCCACCCTCCAGCCTGGCTCCCCAAACCCAGCAGCAGCCACAGCTCTCTGGGACAGTAAAAGGCAGCTCTGCTTTCCCAGCAGATAAATTCTGCACAGCCTGTGACCTCCTGGGCTTTCTCAACATTCATTTCAAGGGCATCCCCTGCATTAAAGTCCTCCCCACAGACAGCACCAGATCCTGGGGAGTTTTCAGCTCACACGTCGCTGCAAACGCCTCAGGACTTTAATGTTCCCACAGGGAGACTTTTAGGGAGGTTTTTATAGAATTCCCCTTTATCTGCCCCAGGAGATGAGGTTCAGCATCCCCAAATCTCAACATCAAGACTTCCATTTCCCTTATCTTTAATGAAAATCTCTCTCACTGCTTGCAAGGACTCCACTGTCAATATTGAGTAAAATATTCAGTAAATAAATATCGAATAAAAACTCTGGAGTGATGGAGCCCTGAGAGCTTCCAGGGAAGGAAAGGCCAGGAAACAATCCAAAGGAACACCTCCTGCCCTTCATCTGACTGAATGTTTCCCTCAATAACCCACTTGCACTGAGAGCTGCTGTCCAATCCCACAGTAAATGGCACAAATAAGGGGAAGGCATTCCCAGTAAAACCAATAAAATCAGCAAAGGAACAAAGTCCAAGGAAAAGAGAAGCTCTCCCCCAGCAAAAGTGGAAGATACTGGGAGATCTCTTGTTAAACCAAGGATCACCCCCTGTCACAGGAGTCAGAACCGAAGGAAGCAGCTCAGACCTGTCTGAAAAGGGGAACATTTTTACTCCAGAGCAGATTTTTCTGTCCACAGAACCACGGCTGAGCCACCCAGGGAATTAACTTTGACAGAGGCAAAGCCAAGCCAGAAGGAGCCCACTGGTGAATGCCCAGGGGGAGATGTTTCCCTCACACCAGAGGAGTGGAAGCAAAAAGCACCCCCTCCCCCCAATTCCTTCCTTGCAGGGCCTCCATTCCCAGCAGGATTTGGACCATGACTCACCTTGGTGATGGATGTAAACACTTTCTCTAGGATTGCATTGGGCTGGGCTCTGTGAGGTCCACTGTCCTGGATGCCAAGGTTTATGGCACACGGCTTGGCAATAAACCTGCAGGAGTTCCCAAGAAAGAGCTGCGTTAAAAAAAACCCAACATTTTTATTTCCCTCCTCTGCCTGAATCACAAAATCCCAGATCTGTCACCAGCTGCAGAACCTGGGGGGGGGGGGGGAAAGCTTCTGGAATCTCCACTTGCTTTGCTTCAAGGAACTTCCCATGTGAAGTAATTTCTTTTCTTAGTCCTCCTGGTCACTGCAGGCAGCACATTCTGTGCACATTAGAGGGAAGAATTAAATCTCAGTGTCCTTGGCCTGCAAGGATCCCAGTGTGTTCCCCAGGGGGGGGTTCTCATTCCTCAACTGCCCAACCTCAGCCTCCCATCCCCTACCTGGCTCCCCTCTCCTGTCAGGGGGAACGAGCAGGTCCCCCTTGAGCCCCCCCCCCAGGAGTTCTGCAGCCCCTTCCCTCAGCATCCATTCCCTTCTCTGGGCAAGGCTGAGCTTCATTCCAACAGGCACAGCTTTAAAAAAAAAAATAAATTAATTAATTAAAAAACAAAAAAGGAAGGAGCGATTTCCTCCCAGCTCGGCTCCAAGGGCTCCTGGCTTCCGCCCCAACCCAGACCACCAGCCAGAGTCTGTGTGCTGATGTTATGAAACAGCTGGCAAGACACACACCCCCCCCCCAAAAAAAATGTACAGCAACAACAAAAGAAAAGGTGTAAAACCCAAATCTTTCTGCTCTGCTGTCCTGCAGGATGTATCACCCCAGCAGCACGGAGGTTTGTATGTGCAGTTACAGGACGATAAAGAGTTCATTTTCTGGGATGTGGTGCTTAACAGCTCTATTACAAAAAAAACAAAAAAACCCACAGAAAACCATGCTTAACCTGGCCTGAAAATACTCAGTTTGTGCCAGCTGCCTCCTCTCAGAGAGGGAAAACTGTACATTCACAGAATTGTGGAATAGCTGGGGTTTGAAAGGACCTCTGGACAGCATCTGCTCCAACCCCCTGCCAAGGCAGAGGCACCCAGAGCAGGTGACAAAGAGCAGATCAAGAACCTACAGACATTCCCAGGTGCACAGAAAGCAGACACTGGAAGCAGGAGGCGGCGCCAGTCACAGAAAACGGGAAGGAAAAGGGATGGCACGGTGGATTTCCTCACTTTTCGGGAAGTCTGGCCCAGTCATAAGGGAGCTTCCCTAATTCCTCAATTCGTGGTCCGTGCAAGTGCCACCTGTCCTTCCACAGGGGCTCCTGAGGGAGGGGGTTTCACCTGGGAAAAGGGGCACAGCCAGCTCACACTGCTGATTCCAGGCACGGCCCTCGTGCCTGGATCATTGCAGGTGGAACACGAAGAGAATGGTCAGTCCTGTGCTCAGTCAGGACAATCCCAGGCTACCCAGGGATTTAGGTGTCCACCAAGGACTTAAAGCCTCTGTGGAATTTCAGCTTTTTGGCCCCAGAACAGGTTTCCAGGTTTTTCTGCAGCAGATCCCGCGCTGAGACAGTTCTGCACAGCGAGGAGAAAAAAAAAAAAAAAGGGGGAAAAAACATTTCCTAGAGGGCAGAATTCCCATTCTTGGGGATATTCAAAAGGAACAGCACAAGACCACGAGCTGCCTCAAGGTTGGCCTTGCCTCGAGGAGGAGATCGGATGAGCTGACCTTGAAAGGTCCCTTTATAATCTAAATGATTTTACGATTCTATGAAATCTCAACGGCAGCAAACCCGACCCAAGGTCAGCTCGCTGCCACACCCCCCCAGGAGGACATTCCCATCCCAGGAACGCTTCCATTTACACCTTCATGGCCAGGGACCAGCTCACACCTGAGCCTGCCCAGCCCCTTTTTCACACCACAGTTGTTTCAGACAAGACTGATTTTAAAACCACCGCAAGGCTCGCAGGTCGTAACAAACACTTCGTGCCTCACAAAAAGGCAACCTCTGTCTTTTATGGAACGTTCCAGTTTGGCTGTGACCCCCTGTTACAGCTCTGAAGGGAAGAACAACCTCCAAACAGTGAGATTTATCAAATATTCACCCGGTTCACACACCTGTACTCTCTCAAGTCTTGCTGTGTGAAGATTAAAGCACTTCATTCCACAACTCTCCCTAATTTTCTGTGCAGACCTGACGAAGTAACAGCTAAAATCACTTTTTCTCCCCTGGAGCACAAGCTGCAGGTCACTCCTCAGGCCTGTCCAGTGACACCCACACATTTGGTACCAAAGGGCAGCTCCAAACACACCCAGGTTTTTGGAGGCATCTGGAATTCGGTGTCTCCTTGTGCCTGTCCTGGGACGAGGCGTGCGAGGAGAAATAGCTCAAAAGCATGACCAAGGACAAAAAAATCCTCTCTGCCGCTGAGTCAGGACTTCACCTTCCTCTGCAAGTCCTGCTTCACCTCTGCAGTCACAAACTGCCCACAGACAGCCAAAATAATGATTATTTTACCAGTGTAGGGACCATTTACAGGAGAATCCACTGTGCTACAAGTGTTGTGGCCCAAAGCAGTTCCTCACACTGAGGAGCTACAGCAGGAGAAGAGGGAGAAGATGCAGCTAAACCAAAAGTGCTGCACGGGTCTATAATTCAAATTCTGAGTCATCGAGTCCAGCTGCCAAATGTGTGTCGAGGAAGGCATCTGACACAATCAAAGCCTGAACTGGGATCGATGCACCACAGGGGCTCGCCGAGACAAAGCTGAACTTTTATGACACGCTCAAAGTGGCAGGAGGAGTTTATTCAAAAAGAAGGGCTTTTAAAACAAACAAGCCTGGAAACGGCCTGGGATGTCGCTGCCACGATCTGATTTCACTCTGGGATACCACTGAGACGCTGCTGAGAACGGGAACAACTCCCTCAGGAGCCGCACCAAGGGCTCTGGGCTTTGCTGGGCAAGAGCAGGACTTAATTTGGCATCTGACCCTTCCCTAAAATCAGCACCAAAACCCCAATTTCGCAAGCCAGGGAGGACTTTCTCAGGGCAAAGCAACTGCTCCCTGGTGTGGAACGATGGACACTGAATCCCTCCCAAGGGAGAAGAGAACCTTCTGCACCTCTTCCCCAGGCTGAGCCCTGCACTAAGGCTTGGAAAGCGAGGGGACAGTCCTACAAAACCCCTCTGCAGGGGTATTGCTGTGTCTTACAACCTCCTTGTTGCCTTCCTGGGTCCTCTGCACTGGTTTTCAGAAGCCTTTCTTTTCCCTCTAAGGGGAGAAAGAGAAGTAGGAGAAAGGAAGAGCCCCTCCAGTTTCTCTCCACCTCCTTTTTCCTCCCTCTTTGCCATATTTTCACTTCGCCCCAACCACCTCCTTACTTCTGGCAGCTCAGGAAGATTCACACTTCACACACAAAGCCCACAGGATCAAAACCAACTCAATTCCCACTCGTTTCAGTCCCGCAGCCCTTTTCCACGCCGGGAAATATTTATAGAATCACACCTCTCCCCGACCCACCCCCGCCGCTCCAAGGCAGAAAACTCACGGTTAAATCGATGTTTAATGAACCTCCTGACCAGGAATACGAGGTGTCTCGGGCCCGCTTCACCTAACGGGCTCCCTAATTAAGCCGCTTTGCTAATTAGCGCCTCTGTCACCCACACGCTCCACGTGGGGCCGCGAGGGATGCCCAGCGCGGATCAAGCCCTGCCCCCGGGGGGGGGGGTGAGTTAATCTCGTGTTTGTGGATGCTCGGGCGAACGGGGAATCCCGAATTACACCTGTTCATGTGCAGATAAGGCGATCTGCGCCCACATCCAAGCGCGCCCGAGGTGCGGGAGGGCCACAGAATTGTTTAATAACACAGCGGGGCCATGTGAACCAGCCCTATTTCCTCCTCCAGGAGCTCAGGGAAAGTACAATAAAACCCACAAGGAAGCCGAGCGCGCAGCGGGCCCCCCCCCGTCGCGGCTGGGCAGGGGGAATAAAAGCGAATTTTTACATGAAACACGGCATTTTCCCCGCGCTGCCTCAGCACCGGAGGGGCCCCTCAGACCCCGCTCCCACAGGAGCCCCCGGGGCTCCTCCATGTCGCGACAGCTCCCCGGGGTTACCCAACGTCCCCTCTGGCACTCAGGGGAGCCACCCCCGGAGCCCCCCGCCCGGCTCACCTCTCGAAGAGCAGCCGCACGGCGAAGATGCCGAGCGCCAGCGGGAAGGCGGACAGGACGTGCGCGGCCCGCGGGTACTGCAGCCCGCTGCCCGGCTCGCCCGCCAGGTCCGCCCACGTCACGTTGTGCGGGAGCCAGAACCGCTCGTTCCAGAACCAGGCCCGCAGCGCCGCCGCCGCGGCCGCCGCCATCTTCCGCCTCCTCCTCCTCCTCCTCCTCCTCCTCCTCCTCCCGCCGCCGCGCTCCGGCCGCCGCCACAGCCACAGGGGCGGGGCCTGGCGAGGACACGCCCCATCCGCGCCCGGCTCCGCCAATCCGCGCGCCGCCAGGGGCCCCGGGGGAGGGGCCAAGGGGAGACCGCGCCCCCTCCGCCACAGGCTCCGCCAATCCGGTGCCGAGCCCCTCTTCTCTCGCCGCGCCACTACCCGGCCCGCCTCAGCCCGCAGGGGGCGGGGGCGGAGGAGGCCACGCCCCTCTTGGCGCCGTCCAGCCAATCCGGGGCGCGCCACACGAAGAAATGGGCGTGGCTTGGCTGGACCTTATCTCGCCGTGCCAGCGCCCGCCGCAGCTCGCAGGGGGCGGTGTCACAGCCCGCACGGGGCGGGGCTCGCAGAGACCACGCCCCCTCATCACCATCACCACCACCCCCCCCACCCAGCCAGGCCTCTCATCGCCCCGCCACAGCGACAAAATGACATAAAACACACAGAATCACAGGGGGTGGAACTGGATGGTCCTTCATGTCCCTTCCAACCAAAACTTTGCATGATTCCATGATTTAATTCCTCAGGCAGGCTTGTAGCCCATGCAGGGAAGGGCCCCCAAAGCTGCCAGCGGGACAGAGCAGCCTCCTGTGCGAGGAGTTTGTGGCAAGATCCCAAGGATTAGTTTTACTGACATTAACACCGCCTGGCAAAGTTTAACGTATCCCTTTTAGCTTGTGGTGAGGTTCTCAGCCTCTCCACAGAGGTGGTTCGACATCAGCCACCTCACACGCGGGCGCCAAACGATCCATCCTTCATTTAATGGCTCTTCTGGCACCTGTCCAGTCAGAGAGCAAATTAAACAGCCCATTAAGCACTCAAATACTACCATAACTAATAGATTCAAGGGTAGAGCAATTCATGATCTGCTCACTTCTTTTTTTTTTTTTTTTTTTTTTTCCCAGTCAACGGTTAAAGCAGTACCGCTTGCGCTGATTTCTCTTTGAAGATGTTCAGCAGGTCTGAGCGGCCAGGTGAGGGTCCTGGTGCCTCAGAGACTCACAGATGCCTCAGATTTAACTAGAAATAACGATTTTGTGATTAAAGTCTCTGCTAAGTGCAGCCAGTGTTGCCTCGGTATCACGTAACCGGGGAGACGCTGTAAAATCCAATCGCGTTTCCTAAGGAACAGGCAGTTGGCCTATCCCATAAATCCAAGTCCACAACAAATGCCCTTCCCTCCCTTTTCGAACAGCACGCTTTCCAGTCAGAAAGATCTCCAGCTTGCTTAGTCACTTAGGGAAATCTGACACCAAATGGAAGGGAGAAAGGTGACAGAAAGCAGCGCGGGATTGCACATCAATACCCCTTCCCCATATCCTTGTCACACACACGAGCAGTTTGTCAGGGCGCTGAAGGACTTTCACTGCATCTCTTCTGGCTCTTATCCCCACCTCTCCTGACCAAACCCACCTCAGGCTCACGAAGCAGCTGATAGGAAAGGGGGGGAAAAAAAAGCCCTCAGTTGTCCTCAGATGCCCTCGAGAGCCACCTGGAGCCAGAAGTGGAAGTGAAAAATCCCTGCACGTTCCTTATTCCTTCTGCCCATCCTGTTCTAATCCCTCTTCTACATTCTCTTGGAATTCGAGAGCAGAAAACTGCCTGTTTGGCAGTCTCGGGGAAAACACGGACACACAGTGTCACCTAGTGGCACCAGCACCATCCCGGGCTGCTTCCAGTGAGAACACTGCAATTCCAGCAGGAACTCCGGCAATCCACCCATCTTCCTCCCTCCATCTCCTTACAGATGGGGAGCAGCCCTGGGGAGGATTTTGGGGGGGGGCTAGATGTGCCCCAGCCCAGAAACTCCCCTAGGCTGGGCTCATCCCCAATTCTGCCCCTCAGGTGAGACCCCCCTGCAGAGCTGCCCCAGCCCTGGGAACAGCACAGGGAGGATGTGGAGGTGCTGGAGCAGGTCCAGAGGAGGCACCAGGATGATCAGAGGGATGGAGGAGCAGCTGTGCCGCGGGGAAAGGCTGGAGAATTGGGATTGTTCAGCCTGGAGAAGGGAAGGCTTTGGGGTCACCTCGCCAGGACCTGAAGGGAACCTGCAGGAAAAGATGGAGAGGGACCATTTCCAAGGGCCTGGAGTGGCAGGACAAGGAGGAAGGGCTTCAAACTGCCAGAGGACAGGGTTAGGTGGGATATTGGGAAGAAATTCCTCCCTGGGAGGGTGGGAGGCCCTTGGCACAGGTTGCCCAGAGGAGCTGTGGCTGCCCCATCCCTGGGAGTGTCCCAGGCCAGGCTGGAGCAGCCTGGGCTGGTGGAAGGTGTCCCTGCCCGTGGCAGAGGGTGGCACTGGATGATCTTTAAAAGCTCCCCCTGACCCAAACCATTCCAGGATGATTCTGTGATTCCCACGGTCCTTTCAAAACGAGGCTTCAGTTTTAATGTAAATGACCGAACTTTATTGAAGGGTTTGTCGGTAGCAGAACTGTTAAGAAAGCAGAATATTTTACACCTCAAGTATAGTTAAGAGCTAATTCTCTTGAGAGTACAGTACAAATAAAAGCTAATACAAAAGGGCCTCCTCCTCCCTCCCCCCCCCATTCAAGGTTTTATTATTTGTAAAATAAACAAAGTCAAGTTTAAAAACGTTCTAAGCTTCAATGCTGGCAGTCAGAAAGTGTCACTGGCTGATTCCAGAGATATTTTTTTTTGCAATGCAGCACAATTTCACAGCTGTAAGGAAAAGATTTATGGCAGCTTGATACAAGTAGGATTTCAGAGTTGTCAAAAGGCCTTAAAAATTCTTATCTGCGGTTTAAAACGGTGAGGAGGAACTCCTGGTAAAAAAAAAAAAAAAAAAAAGACAACAAAATCAAACCAAACAAAAAAAAACTCCACTTCAAATGCGGATGAAATGCAGAAGTAATGCCCTGCAGGCTGCTCAAAAGTGTTCACTCGTCCTCAAAGAGACCTGGCAGCCGGCACAGCTCCTGGGAAAGCACTAAAATACATGTGGGTCCAGCAAGGGGCACCATTCCAGTTGTGCAGGGACTCCTCACCCATCACAGGCGGGGTTTGGGACACAAATTCACATTGCACTCGGTTCCAGATGCTTCCGCTGTTGGACGCTACGCACAGATATTGGTTTATTACTAATTAAAAAAAAAAAAAAAAAAAAAAAAAAAGCCCAGTTGTGCCCTTTCCATGCATTAAAGTGCATTAAGTGACCATTTTTAAAGCAGGCCAGAAAGTCCCTTTGAAGTTGGTCCCTAAGCACTGCAGTAGCATTTGTAGTGGTACAAGTGGTGTGTTCCAGAGGGCCTGTCCCAGCCCACCACGGCGGAATTCCATGAATTGTTGGTGGAATACGTGTTTGAGCTCAAAGGGATAAGACAGTGAAGCCCAGGACAGCCCTGTTCTCGTGCTGAGGACAGACATTACCTGCTGACGCTGTCCCACAACCACACACTTGTTCCCATGGCCCCAGAGAGACTCTCCGCAGGCTTCCAGAGTTTCCCAGTTGAGATAATTTGGACGTGGATTCCCTTAACGTGCAGTGTAGCATCACTTCATGGAGGAGAGCTGTTTGTTAAAGCTAAAAACACCCATTTCCAAAGGCCCAGCACCTCGCAGCGAGTTTCCTAGGAAAAGGCCAATTTATTCTTCATCATCATCATCATCATCCTCATCTTCATAGTAGCGATTCCTTTTGATCTGCTCTTCCACGGACAGATCCTCCACGTCGTCGCCCTCCCAGAACCCCACGTCTTGGGATTTGCGGTTCTGGTTCGGGGACGCCTCCTTGGCGCTCACGACGCTGCCCAGGCTGGAACGTTTGGGAGAGTTCGGCTCGAGGAGTTCTTCGTTTGGGATTTCCGGCTCTTCCGCGGGGTGTTCCTCCTCGTCCGTCTCTGCACCCACCTGGCCGTTCTCCACAACGCCGTGCTCCGCTGTCCTGACACCACGCGGTCCCTGCTCTTCCTCCGCTTTTCTCTCCTCGGGGTTCTGGGTGTTCCTGCGCTCAACCTTCTTTTCCTTCGGCTTTTTCTCCGCCACGACCTCTCTCTCCAGTTCCTCCCCCTTTTTCAGGGCGTCCCTCTCGGCCTTGGGAGGAGAGGGCGAGTTCTCTGCTTTGTGGCCCTTCACAGACACCGTTCTGAACGAGGCCGCCACCGTGAAGGGGCGGCTCCGCTCCTTCAGCGAGGAAGATCTTCTCAGCTTCTTGAGATCCAGGTCCACGTCCTCCTGCCCGTCCGGCTTGGAAACCTCCTCCTCCGGGGGCCACTTGGGTTTGAGTACTTTGATGCCCTCCTCTAAGGCACTTCCTTGGATGCTCTGGTCAGAGGGAGGGGGCCAGGCGATCCTGAGCTTTTTCGTTTCCGCCGGTCTCTCTTCTCTTTCAGGCACAGCCGAGGCTTTCGCTTCCATAGTCGCTGCCAGAACCCCCACTTTTGCAATCGGGGCGTCCTCCACTCCGGGGCTCTGCGGAGCCTCTGTTGCGTTCGCCCCAGGGACGTTTTTTTCCAGGGATTCCTCACATTCCGCTTTGCCTGCCCACAACTCCTTGTGCTGTTTGTGCCCAAAGCCCTCGTCGTAGTTGCCCTTGGATTTGAAGAGCTGGTTGAAGTGGGGTTTGCAGTAGATGTTGCCCCGCAGCGACGCGTACGTCCCGAGGCTGGGCAGGAAACACAGAGTCAAACACTAGAGCTCACCAGCACAGGCCTCTGCTTCAGCTGTGTCACTGAAGAGATTCAATCCCACCCTTCCAACACGCTCAGAACACGCTCACAGCCCTCGGGGTTCGCATTCCCTATGGCTCTGTCCAAGGATTCGGGAGGAAGTTGGACATGCTATTTCCCACCCCCCCTAAAATTACAGGAAGAGTTTAAAAACTGCATCAAAGTGCAAACACCACTGGCAGAGCATTACCACTCCTGTGGTGGCCTCCAACCCGAGCAGCAGCGAGGGGAAAACACTTCCCAGGCGCTTCCAGAGGGAGCAGGGCGGGTACCTGAGCTTGCTGTTGCAGTAGGAACAGCGGAAGCAGCTGATGTGAAACACCTGCTGGTTGGCAAAGAGCCTTTCCATGGGGTACACGGTCTTCTGGCACCCAACACAGGTCTCCTTCATTGGCAACTGGAATTTCTGCAGGAAGGAGAGAAAGCCCGTGAGAGCTGGAAAACGCGTCAGGTGCCGGGGGCTCGGCCTGGGTTCCCCCACGGCCTCCCCAGCCCTCCCGAGCTGCAGAGAGTCATTGCAGTGGGCTCTGGTGGGCAACGAGGGAGGAAGAGGCCACGACAGACCCACGGGACTGCTGTGGCTTGACAGAGAGCCAGGGTTTCACCCCAGTGAGTTCCACAGCTCCACTTGAGCAACAGCCGGGAGAGAACAATGAAAATACCAGAGCTGAGCCAGTTCCCAAAAAGCTCTGCAACCTCTTCCTGCAACCTCAGCTTCTCTTGATAGGAAAATGATGAAACATTCGATTCCAGTCAGTATGAGACTTACCAAGAGAATAAAAATAGTGCAGAAAAACCTGAATCCTGGAATGGTTTGGGTTGGAAGGTGATCATCCAGTTCCAACCCCCCTGCCGTGGGCAGGGACACCTTCCACTAGAAGAGTGTTGCTCCTTGGAATCCGTTAACCCTGGCCAAGGGGGAAGGTGCTTTGCAGGAAAAATTAAACAACAGAGTTGAAAGACTGGCAGGTTGGAGGCTGCACCTTGATTACAACTAATTTAGCAGCCGGGGAGGCTCCACACCCTGGGCAGACACACTCATAGTGGGGCTTTCCTCTGACAAAGAATTACCTCCTACCGACTTACAAAAACCTTTAAGGGAAAATCTGATGGCTAAAGAAAAAAAAAAAAAACAAAAACCAAAACAGGAAGGTCACAGGAAGACATAATCACAGCAATTTATTTATAACAGTCTAGAAACAATGGGTAGCAATGAAAGTTACGGTGCGAGGGGGCAGATTGCTGAAGACAGAGCCATAAAGTTTGCTGTCAATTTAAACTCCATTTTAAATGGTATTTCAGGCCTTCAAGGCATTGCCTGAGGTTGCAGTGGATTAAAGTTCTGATTACAACAGCTTGGCCTCACAAAACTCTCCCTGAAAGGCTTCGTTTGCCACCACGGCCTGGGGTTTGGCAACCCTGATGGAGGGCCCTGGCACGTCCTCCTGCAATCACACCCCCACCCAAGGAGAGGAACTTACTTGCACTTACAATGTGCCCTATGTCTGTGGAGAGGCGTTTTGGGGTGTGAAGAGACAGGAATTCCTTTCCAGGATGCTACAAAAAGGAGCTACAGGAGGAAGGTGAGGCCCAATAAATATGAATTAAAAAAAAAAGCCTCGAGAGAAAGCTGAGAGTTGAGCTCACATTAGGAGGGAAGCAGAAGGCAGGAGGAGAGGTTAGGAACCGAGAACAGGAGACAGAAGCTGGAAGAGACAAATAGGAACCTTGGATGAATAAACAGCAGCTGGGTTTCTATCTCACAGTGCAGCATCTAAAGCAGTAACAAGGCAAAAGGCTAAAAATGGCTCTAATAATATAAAGAGAGCAGAGGGGACCAGGACATGCAGGTTCTGTGCAACAGGCTGAGATCACACAACTCCTCCAGGCAGCTCCAGTCCCCCCACCCTGGCATTCCCCACCCCAGCACGCTGGGAAGCCACATCTCCCTGATCTCTGAGGTCAGTGCTGTTCCTCCCAAAGATGGGGGAAAACAACAAAAGCCCAGTTGTTTCCTCAGGAGCGAGCCAGGAAGTCTGTGGCAGCCCAGGGAACCGGCATCCCAACTCCAGACACAGCCCATGTGACGGGGAACTGCAGCGTGATCAGAGCGTCCAGCGCTGCCATTTGTTGTCTAATCAGATTAACAAACACATTCCTGTCCCAAACTTCTCCATCTGCCTTATCGCTCCCCTGAAGAAATTGGAACATCAAAGACCCCTCAGAAAGCCAACACAACAGTGCCCTTCTTACTGTCGAGTCGCTCCCAGTTGCGGCTCCCTCGGGAGCTGATGGAAGGGGAGGGTGCAAAGCCACGACTCCCAGCGGGCTGGAGGCTCTGAAGATCCTTCCCAGCAGCTCAGGGCCCATCTCTGGGAGCACTGACAAGCCCTGCCACCACCACCACCACCACCCCCTGCTCAGCCCCTTCTCCCAGACAGTGAAGAGGAGCAGAGTCTGCCACGGGGGGGGCTGTGGAACAGCAACAAGCGACTCCCAGCCCGGGAGGAAAACGCCCTTTCGAGGTGTTTCCCATCCTGAACTCAGGTTCCCTCACAAACACAGTTATCCATCCATTACTGCCAGACCTCTGTGCCCACACTGAGGCTTTCCCAGCATTAAACAGGGTGGTTTGAACCCCCCCCCCTCAATGTCTGAGACTAAAGAGCTGCGTTACCTTCACGGCTTTGGGTGGGGAGGTGTCTGCCTGGCCAGCCCTGGCACTGGGGCTCTGCTGCTTTGAGCTGACAGCTCTCTGAGCTTCTGCCTCGCTCTCCGAGTTCTGTCCAGCTGAGGGAGAAAAGGCAATTACAGTGGGCTTTAAAGCAGGGGCAGCTTGTGCTCCCCAGGCCCACCAGAGCATTAGTCTGGGTTAAAAGGTGAGGAAGCTACGCTGAAAAGAGCTCAGTCAGAGCAAACGGGAGTTACAAATGTCTTAACATTATTACAACTGCAAAAAAAACTTCTTAACGTGAAGAAATTGTTATAAAGCCTGAGTTAGGCACGGAGCAGATCCTCAGCACGGGACAGTTTGTGTTAGTGAACCATTTGATGGGGCTGAGCTGAAGCATCTTCCACCCCCCCTCCCTCCCTCGAGCTGTGTGCTCACCATGGCCATCCTCCAGCACACCAGAGTGCAGAGACGAGCTGTTCCCATCTACAGAAACCTGCAACAGAAGGAGACAATGAGCACATCCAGCCCCCTGAGGTCTGAACAACCCCCCCCCCCCCAGGCAGTCTGTGAGCCCTGGGACAGGGACTGACCTGAGGGGGCTCAGGGAGGGACTCGCTGTGTTTTCTGTCAGGCACAAGGAGTGTCCACAACATCAGTCCTGGCTACAGGGCAGCCAAGCTCAGAACTGCACAGCTCTTGCAATACTCAGATCATCTGTCAGGGCTCTCTCACACACAAACATCGTGTTCCTAAAAAGTTTCAGACACTAAACAGACTCACAGAATTGGCTTAGGTTGGAAAAGACCTTTAAGATCATCGAGTGCACCCCTGAACCAAACATGTTACAGGTAAAGCCCTTGATGTATAGTTCTTTATTAAACTTGGCACTATTGCTATTAAATCAAATAGTTTTAAGTAGCTACCCCGAGGACCTAAAGCACCGTAACAAGATTAACCAAATCATCACTAATTCACTCTAATGGTTGAAAAGTCCACTGCAAGCAACTGAAATTTGCAAATTAGCGAGTTCAGGGGAAGGCAAATGACAGCTCTTAACACACTCTGGGTCTGCTGGGGAGAAAAAAGCAGCGCTGTAACCCGGAGTGGTGGGCAGATAATTCACCTGGGACGGGGAATGAGAGGTTATTGAGAGGCTGGGACAGTCACACCCGTCTGGCCTTGCAACCTTCACAGGGGCAGCGTGAAAAGTGAGGGGACAGCTCAGGAGTGTCCTTTGTTTCCATCTCATCTTGGCTCCTGACAGTAACGACCCAGCAGCTCTAATTAGGCTCATTTCCAGAGTTCATCATCCCCTTCCAAAGGACAATCCTGGCTCCCCGTGTCCCCTTCAGGTCCTCCCTGCACCCAGACACCTCCACAAGCAACTCAGTGCAAGGATCTTTATTCAGACCTTCCATTCACGAGGGGAAGGGGGCAGAGACTCTGATTTAATTCTGATTTAACAGGTGCTCTTTCAATTAACTCACCTCTGAACACGGAGCAGCCCCGGCAGTCGGAGCTGAAGCCGCTCAGCTGTCAGGGAGGAACAGCTGAGAGAGCCAGGATTTGGCCCCTTGCCCAAGGAAGGCTGGAAAGCTCTAAAAGCCCTCCTGGCATTAGGCTGCCACGTGTTCAGCCTGGCTGCCATGCACAGTACCCCAATTATTATTCAGCTGCTTTTATCCCGTCTGCCCTCCCCGCTCCAGGGCACAAATGCTCGGGGCCAATTCACAGAGTCTCAGTTTACAGCTGAAGCTCAAAACCAGGAGCAAACCCAAGCTGCCATTCCCAGTTCCCTTAAAACTGAGCCACTCAAATGCAGGAGAAACAGTGACAAACTCGTGTCACACAAAGCTCCTCCTGCTTTGTTTGTTGTTTTTTTTTTTTTTCTGGTGTAGATTCTTTTTGTTTATTAAAAAAAAAAAAATCACAAGACAAAAACCTACCAAAAACTACCAACAAAACAAATACCTGGCTGTGAACCATCTTTTCACAGTGAGGGAACAGGACACAAAAAAGCCTTTAGGTGATTTCATCAGAGTCAACAATAAAGCCAAAAACCCTACCAGAACAAATGAGAAAAACCACAGAAGCATCAAGGGATTTGGCACAGGGAATAGTTTGGGTTGGAAGGGACCTTAAAGATCATCCAGTGCCACCCCCTGCCACGGGCAGGGATGCCTTCCACCAGCCCAGGCTGCTCCAACCTGACCTGGGACACTTCCAGGGATCCAGGAGCAGCCACAGCTTCTCTGCCCAACCTGTGCCAGGGCCTGCCCACCCTCCCAGGGAGGAATTTCTTCACTGAAAAATACCCAGAAGGATGAGATTGAAGGGCTCTGCTGCACTACAGACATGTCACAGCTGAGAAGACAGAGAAACTCTCCAAGAAAACTTCTCTCTAGACATTCTCTTCCACAGAGAATCACTGGCCTATAACTCAGAGACAGCCTAAAAGGAATGACTGAAAATTAAAATTAAGAATCAGGAATTCTGCAGGACTGTAACTCCTCTGGACCAGCTGCTCACGTTCAGTCCTGGATGGGCCCGTGGAATGTGGAGCCAGCACATCAGCTGCGCTTCCACAACTATTTCCACTTGCACTGAAGCCCCTGACCTCCACCAGCACACACATCTTACCTTCTCCCCATCCTGACAGGAACTGGAGTCCTCACTTGGTGCCACATTCTCCTTCTGCCCACATCTGTAATTCTTGAGTTCACTCTCACTGGCTTGAATCTCACTCTATAGGATAAAGCACTGGAATGGTGACAGGTTCTTCTCCCCTTGGAAAAACACTTGCCTCCTATTTTTCTCAAAGTGTTTTAAAAAAAAAAACAAACCTGTTTTTCTAGTATTTGAGGTGATAATTCAGGGAAGGGCCATAAAAATCCACAGACACTTGGGAAGTGACACATCCTAATGAGGGGAAAGGATTGGGCTGCAGGATTTTGCTGTGCCCCTCGGAGGGCACACCAGTGTTGGCCTTAACAACCCTTCCAAATTCCTCTTTAAAACCAGCTCTTAAATCCCCTGCCCAGTCCACACCTCCCTCTTCCAGAAATGTTAACTTTTCCCTGGGAATGGCAAGTATTTCCAGACAAGCACTACCTAAAGCTGCCAAATAAGGCTTGACATGAAAGCAAATCCCACTTCTGCTCCAGTTCAAGTCAAAACCCTTCGTTTTTGTTCTTGACAGACTCGACTGAAGATTTTCACAGAAGAATCTTTCAGACTTCAAAAGAGATAAAATCCAGTGAAACCTCGTGTTTCCTGCCTTGCCACAGGGCACAAGATCAGTGGGAGCCTCGTGCCTTTCACGAGGCATCTCCTGTGTGTGACGTGAGAGAGGAGCAGCCACCTGCCAGCACCAGCACCTCGCTGGGATCGGGAACAATCTGCACGGAACCAGCCACGTCCAAGAGGTTTGTAAGGAATTTTAGTGCTGCCTAGACCTCCAGCTCTGCTGTCCAGCAGCTCTCCCTCCCCTCCCTGCACCCCTTGCAGGGCACAGAACTGCTTCTATCTCACCATCAGTTTGAATCCAGGCCTAATTCCACCACAGTGCCCTAAAACAGAGGGGAGAGGGACAGCATAGACACCACACATCCATTCCAGGAGAGCCCTGGGTGCTTTCCCAGCAGGGCAGGAGAAGATCCCAGGGTTAGGGCAGCTGTTGGAGCACTGGCACTGCCAGCACTGGCCTCAGGAATCCTCCTTTGCTCTGCTTTACTCGGCCCTTGTCCACGTGCCAGGCCAACATGGGCAGGGATTCCTCCCAAGTGGGGCATCCTGAGAGCATCAGGATGGACTGGCACCAAACCCAGAGCTCTGGGGGGCTGCAGACAGGAGCCTCAGGAGAAGGGGCAGATCTCCTGCCTTTGGGATGGAATTTCAGTGGCCCAGCACCACCACCCTGAGCCCCAACCTGGAGGAAAAGGCCTCAGCAAATGAACCCAGGCAAGGCACGGGGCGCAGGAATCAGCAATTAGGTTAATCAGATTTGCTGCACTGGCTGCAAGGACTTTCCATTCATGCAGGGAAATTTTTTACTGGGCTCCCCTCCCACAGCTGGAGAATCAGAGCCACAGGCAGATGAAATTCAGGAATCATTGTAGCTGAGGCTCTGCCCCTCCAAAAACAACAGCTAACAAAAGCTGAGGTTCCTGAAACCTCCTCAGCTGCAACGCTTCATTAACTGGGAAACTTTCAACATTATTCCAGGAAGATGCAAATATACTTATTTCTTCCTGCAGGCAACTCTTGATCCCAGGGGCACAGAGTTAGTTTAAAAAAAAAAAAAAAAGCAAAACAGAAAAAACGATGGCATTTGTCCTCAAGCAGCCTGGTTTCCATAAGATCTTCCTCCCAGTCTCAGCCTGGGACAAAAACTCCCTTCCAGCCAAGCCAAAAGCAGACTTACCATGGGAGTGAGGGCTGAGGAGCTGCCCTGCTTGGACACAGCTGCCTGGTACTTGGCCAGCCTGTCCTTTATGGATGTCTCTGTCAAACGAGGCAGGTCCAGGCTCCTCCTGCTCTCTGCCTTGTCCAAGCTCAGTCCTGGGATGGTCTCTACAAGATGCCCTGGTGAAAAAAAAAGAAAACCCACATGAATAATGGGCAGTTTTCAGGCTGCACTTCCTTCCATTTTTTAGGAAGGGCAGGAGTTATTTCCCGGAGTCCCTGAGGCTGGAAAAGCCCCCCAGGACCCTCGAGCCCAACCTGTGCCGGATTCCCACCCCAGAGCACGGAGGAACCTCTCCCTGGACTGTATCCAGCAGATTTACTTTATAAACTTTAAAAAAATCCACTCCCCCCAAGCCCGAGGCCAGCCCGGAGTTCCCCTGACCTGCGGGCCCGTGGCTCCTCTCGGCCTGTCCCGCGTCGCAGTCCTCGGAGGAGCCGCTGTTCTCCGACACCCTCCTGCCCAGCGCCGTCCTGCGGGGCTCCCTGGGCACCTGCTGGGGACAGAGCCACCCCTCAGCCGCCTGGGCACCCAGGGCTCGCCGGGGGCGGGGGGTAATCCCTTAAGAGGCCCAGGTGTCACTTGCAAATCTGCTTTGCCGGAACAAACAAGCGGAGCAGGTGACGTCTTATTTAACCAGCACAAAGTTTGATCACAGAATACCTGACCCCTCCGTCACCTGGGAGACACTTTTCCCCGGAGAGGTCACCCGGTGGCCTCTCTGAGAGCTCCTCCTGGTTGGAAAGGAGCAGCGGGACCGGGGTTTCCAGGTGGAGTTTTGGAACTCGCGCCGTTTCTGTTGCTCGAGGTCGTTTCAGGGAGATCTAAAACCAGGTGAAGGACGAAAGGAGAAGCCACCCAGAATCTGCACCGATTTTCAGCCACAGGAAAAGCAATCCAGAGTATTGGAATAAACGTTATCTCAAGTTACCCGGTTTGATTTGGACGCTTCATGCATTTGGTACCGAATAATTCCCTAATTAGGTCTGATAAGGCTGAAGCTTAAGCAGGAGAGCTAAATAGTAGAGATAAATATTCTCAGATCTCCAGGATAATCACTCCCTGCCAGGCTGCAGAGCTGGACAGGGTGTCCTGCAGCACCACACAGATGCTCTGGCTGCCTCAATCAGATTTTTTGCTTATTTGTTGAGACCAACTCCCCAGAATCTAAATCTCAGTAAAAGAAACCGCGAACAGAAGTTTCCACAGCTTTGATAAAAGCTCCTGAGCACAGAGTTCAGTTGGACTCCACCAAGGTGGGGCTGTTTTCACAGCTGAAAGTCAACCCATAAAATCCTAGAAGGTGCTGGATTCTTTTTGTTGCCTCCCCAGGAAGAGTTAAATCACAGTTGGAAATTCAGGCTGAGGCTGATGCAGGGGGAAAAGGCAGGTTTGGCAAGATGCTCCAACCACACATTCCCCCCCCCCCCACTTCCACTTCCAATGAGTTTCATATTTGCTGCTCACCAAACTGAAGGAAATTCCAAAGTTTATTTTAACACTGCACTGTAAGATAATCACTGGGAAAAAAAAAAAAAATAAAAAATCAGGCTGCTTTCCATGCAAACAGCAGCTTCACCAGGAAAGGAAAACGCAGCTGGAAAAAACCCTCTTTTTCCATTAGGATGGGAAATAGTTTCTATTTCTGTGGTTTAGGGCTTTGGTAACTTTTCTTACTGGAAAAGAGCTTTAGCTCTGACAAGTCTTTTCCTTCCATTGATAGGCTGGGGCTGGGAGTGCCTGCACTTGTAAGGACTTGCAGATTCCTCATGAGGAGTGAAAACTCCTCTTAAATGATCCCTATTCAGCCAGGGTCCCCTTCCCTGTCACCCCGAGTCCAGGCTTCTTGCAGCTCACAAATTTGGGGTTCAAAGGAGTGCAGGAGGAAAAGTTCAGCTGAAGAGTGAGCTCAGGAGTGCTCCAACTGCATCAGCTCCTCCTCCTGCCCTTGCCCACCTTTTGTTAGAGGTCAGGGGTATTTGAATAAACCTCCAAATATTCAGTAAATCTATAAATACATTAAGGTTTTATATCAGCAGTTTTGTGCTGGGGATGAAAAAAGCAGAGTAAAAGGAAAAAAGAAGCTCAGCAGGGGGAAGATGAGGGAGTTTCCCCATCCCAACCCATGGGCTGAGCAGCCTGGAGACGACAACTCCAGAAACGCTGCAGATCTGCTGCTCTTCCTCCTCCCCTGATCTCCCCTGGCTGTGCTGCCACTGCCACTTCCAGGAGGAGCCCTTGGAACGTCAGGGCTTCCACCAGCCCCAGTCAGGCTGAACTCCAGGCTGCCGTGCCTGCCCCTAATGGGATCAGAGCAGTTTGTTCCCACGAAAAGGCAATAAAGGAAGATCTGCCACCTATCTATTGCAGAGGGCAGAGCAAGAGCTGAGTGAAGAAAGGAACAAAAGAGGGAGGGTTCTGCTTATAAACCTGAAAACGAGAGTAGGTTTGTTTAGAGTGGGAGGTGGAATCAGGAAACCCAGGCTCTAATCTGGATTCCTGCCCCAGAACCTGCCCAGTGACCAGGAAAGTCCATTTACTGCTGCAGTCACATGGTGCTGGTTTAGTCCACACAGATGTTCAGCCGGCAGAGCTCTGACAGCATTTACACCTGGAGTAAATTCCAAGGAAAACCGCCCTCCCTCAGCTGAACTTGCAGCTGGGCTCGGGAATCACAAAGGCATTTCCCACCCAAACCACCCCACGGAGCCCTGCTCAGGAAAAGCCTCAGGAAAGAAGTGGAAGAGGCCACTGCAGAGCTGCAGTTGGGCCACACTCACACCGGGGCTGTGGTGGCTTCCACTCCACTGACCCAGATCTGCAGTGCCAGCTCCCCTCACTGTCATGTCACAGGGCATGACATCACCCTCCTGCCCTCAGATCAATTCCCAGAACCAGGAATCCAGCTCCAAAGACACCCCTTCCCCCTCACGGCCCTCAGCATCACCATTAAAGAGTAACAGATTAACCTGGAACAGGAATTTTTGAACCCAGCCTGACCAGTTCCATCCCTCCTGGATGGCGATTGCTGTGTTCCAGCTGGTTCTTAACAACGCCCGAACTACCAAACTTGACAAACCATCGGTTTCACATTCACTCAGCTCCAACACAGTTTATTCCCCGGGGGCCGAGACGGAGTTACTGGAAGCCCATCTGCAGAATTCCAGTGGAATCCTGAGCGATGAATCCTTCGGGCGAGAGAGTTCAGGGAAGGGCTACGGGGACATCGCCCTCCCCGCGCGGGACAGGGTGGGCAGCTCTCACATCACGACAAAAGACTCCAAAAAATCCCGAGTTGTGAAACCACTCCACAAGAGACCCCAAACCTCGCTCCTCTGAGCCCGGAATCGCTGCCTGTTGGAAACAATTCTGCCCGAAATGTGTTTGTTTTGCTCAACGCTTCAAGAAAAAAAAAACCACCCGCAGCAGAACAAAGCCAGAAGGACGGGGGGAAAAACTATGAGGAAAATTGGAAAATCCAGCAGCATCGAGGCCTCGGGACCGTGTTTCAAGTCCCCAGCATATGCAACTCATTTCGGAGTTGAGCAATTCCCCCCCGGGGACACTCGGAGTCCGCAGGCGGGATCAGATTTCATGAGCAGTTGGAGGAAAAATGCGAGCCCTGAGCATTTGCAAGTCAAAACTAGTGAGGGCAGGAGCTGCTCTGGCCATCTCGGCTTCGTTTTCCCCCAGTGAGGGATTTTTTTTTTTAAGATAAGAAACATTTGTTAAGATCCAGAGATGAGGGAAGAAGCGAGGAGAAGATGGGAGAGTTCCACAATACATATTTATGTATATGTGTGTGTGTGTATGTATATATATATATATATATATATGTGATCCAGATATCAAAACCTCTCACTCCTCAGCGCTTCACCTTGACTGCTGAGCTCAGTTTCTTCTTCTTTCATATATATATATATAAATACATAAATATATATATATACACATACATATTTTGACACAATTCGTGCTCGTGTAACTCATCGCAGTCTTTCACGCAAGGCAGAAACAACCCCAAGCTTCATAAATTCCACTTTTTCCCTTCAACCGAGCCCTTCCGCAGGGAAAACAGTTTTACCCCGACCTGTCCCCAGCTCCGCTCGTCCCGCAGGAACTCGCGAGGCTGGGGGGTGAAGCTGTTTTGCCCCCACGGTGTGAGTTATTCACACCAGACAATGCACACGCTATTATCTGCGGGGCCAGCAGCCGGAGCCACTCCCTCCCGGGATTTTCCTGATTGCCCCTCCGGAGGCAGCAGCTCCAGCGGCTCCGGGATTCGCCACCCCTTACCTTGGGCTGGGGGGGCTCGCCCTTCTCGAACATCATCTTGAGCTTGCTCAGGGGCACGTTGTACTTCTCGATCCTGCCCAGCGGCTCCGCTCCCTCGCCGGCCTCGGGCTTCTCCGCTTCCCTGGGCTCTCGCACACAGTTTTCCATGTTGCCACCCTCCGCTGAGTGGATTCTGGGCTTCGAGCCGTCAGCCCCAGCCCCCGGGGATGGGGAAGGAGCGCGGCCGGTGCCGACCTTGTGCCGAACCTCAGCGCAGCCGCCCCGCAGCGATTCCCTCCCGGACTCCGCTCCCAGCGCCGGATTCTCCCACTTCTTCTTCAGCGCGCTCAGATTGCCCCTGGTGAAGTGAGGGGGCAGGTTTTCCGCGTTCTGCAAGGGACAAGGAGTTTAAAAGGCCGAGCTCTGGCGAGCGCTCCCCTTCCCATGCGGGGGAAGGCGAGGGCTCCGCTCCGCTCCCGCTCCCGGCCAGCTGTGAACAGTTCCAGCTGTGCCACATGGAGACACATCCAGGACAGGGAAGGAAGGAGGGGGGGAGAGGAGAAAAGTCAGGAAGTGAGCAAACAGGATGGCCTTATAAGGCAAAAGGGAGTCGAACCCGAGGGGTTAAATTCCACACAAAAGGCTTGAATCCACATATGAAGGAAATGGGACCCGAATCCACACGGGGAGGGAACGGGACACAAGCGGCCACAGGGGAGGGCCCGGTGCTGCAGTGTCTTCAACAATCACCAGCCCTTCCCAAAGCTACAGATTAGTTCTCAGAAACCACTCCATCCCTGGAGTTCTGTATTTCTGCTCCCAGGTTACGGCAGCACTGGAATTACGAGGGATCTGAGCAGGATTTCACAGCCCCCCCCCCAGCCCAAGGCTCCAGCCAAGCCCCCACAACAAACATACTCCCGCTCCTCTTCGGAAAGAACCAGTAATTTGTTGGGGATTTTCCTTCTGTTCCGCTCAGCCCACTGAAAGCTCTGACAGGGACAGGCACAGGAGTGACAAAAACACACCTCACCCCCTCCAGGGAGCACCTGGAGCAGCATCACCTCCCATCCAAGTGCTTCCCAGGCCAATTCTGCTCCGAGCAGTTCCCCCTCCCCAGAGCAGCAGCCCAGCCCCTCTTTGGGTTCATCCAAATCCAGTACCTGCCACCATTGCATGATTCCTGCCTCTCCCTTACGGACACCACTCCAAACTCATTGCAAGTGGAGCAGGGCTGCAGGGCTTACAGGAATTAACTGGGATTAGCAGCTATATTGGGATTTAAGTCTCTCACCCTATTACTCTTGTGGTCACATTTTGAACGCTGCTTTGCAAATTGACTTGAATCCACCTACACTTCCAAAAAAAAATAATTATTAAAAAAAAAAAATCAGCGTGTTTGCTGATTCTATTGGAAGGAAAGTACCGAAATGATAAGGGAAGTGTTGTAATGGAACAGAAATACTGAAAACTGCACAGCAGGTTTCCATGGGAACACCTCTGGAGTCCCTGCACACTTCCCAACACGAGTCCCTCCTGCTTGGGATTTGCCTGTTCCCTGATGAGAGGGAGGTTGACAGACACCAGCACGAGCAGGGAAGGACATTTAAGACCCCAAAGTAATTTTTTTAGAATGCTTCCTTTATGCCACCTGTATCCCAAACAGCAAAAAGAGTGACTCCCCAAGAACTAAGGAAATTAAAGCAGCGACTTTCCAACAGATCCTGAAAACACTGGCAGTCCTTTCAAACAGGAATTACCCCCAGGGCCTGCTTGGGCAAAGCCCTGCAACCTCCCTGCCTGGCGTTCCAGCCAAGGTTCCCTGACCCCGGGACACCAAGTGCAAGGGAGGGAATGTGAGGCTGTAACAGAGCCAAAAAAGGTTGGGGCCGCCTCACCCAGGGCCACTTCCAGCCCTGCAAGTCACTTCAGAGCAGACCCCGCAGCTCTCCAAGACACACACGGATTTTAGGGAGGCTGGAGGCGTCTTTTGAGCACTTTCCAGTTTGGTTAAGAAGGGAAGAGGCACCACACAAGCGCCTCCAGCTAAGAACAGGAGGTGGGTGTTCATGGCTTGTGGTTAACTCAGTTTGCCTCTTGCTCAGGAGTGAACTGGTGATTCAAACAGAGCTTTGGGCCAGAAGCTTCATCTCCTTTCCTTCCCTCCACACTGGGGGAAGGTGTGGAGAACGAGGCAAACACTGTGCCCATGCCAAGTTCTCTGCAGGACACACGGCAGCAACCTGGATATTCCCAAAATCACCTGCCACAGCAACCTTCACACGGGTGACCCATCCTGACTGCAGGCTCTGCTCACTCCCAAGGAAACAAATACTCATGCAAACACTTACACTTCTTTTCTTCTCAGCAGTGGCTTCTTCAGCAGCTTTCTGATACCTTTGAGAGGGAGAAAAAAACAAACAAAAAATGACTTTTTTTGACTAGACTGAACACTCTTGAAAAGGCAGCTGGGATCTCACTCCCTGGATCTATCAACTAAAACCAGAGGCTGGACAAACAGCAGCAAACGACACAAAGCCAAGTGGCAGACACATTTTCAGTCATCCAGCTCACAGTAATAACACCCATTAATATTTCTCACTCCCTAAGCACTCTGATTCCCAAATAGAGACAGTTTACCTTGGAATAGCTGTATTGTTTCCGCCACCCAGCTGTCTGCTGTGCCCCCTTTGCAGGAATAACTCAGCTCTTTATCCAGCAGCTGCTGAACCAGAACAAATTCCAGCTTGGCATAGGCCAAAAAAACCTCCCTGAGTGCCAGTTGATTTTACTCTGTGGGCTGGAAGCTGCCCCCATTCAGCAGTTGCCTCCTGAGCAGCTGAGCCACGGTGGCAGCAGGAAGGGTAATCACAGCCCTCCCAAGATAAGCCACCCTGGATCATGAATCAAAGTCCCTTAAGGAGCTCTGGGGAACTCCCTGCAGTCTGCACGGGGTGGGGGGGGAGTCCCTCCACACTCCACCACGCAGGGGGACTGCACTTGGTGTCTGCACCGTGAAAATTAGGGACAAACATTGCCATTTTTAGGGAGGGCTCTGCTCCCCAGGGAGAAGGAACATCACCCACTGTCTGCCTGGGCAAAGGGTGTTTCTGTTTTCCTTATCTGTGGAATTCTGCCTTTGATGCAGCTGTGAGTGTGCTACGGGCTGCTGCCTCCCCTCTGATCCATGCAAACACACCCACCCGCCTCTCTGCACCAGAAAGGGTCCAAAATTCGAACAGGACACGCTGGGAAAGCGTTGCTGGGGAAAGAGGGATCAGTACTGGGAGAAGCAACGCAGAGGGACACGGGGATTAAGTCAAGCACCACCTGGAGAACACAGGAGGATTGAGGAGTGCCAGCCCAGCACAGGCCACTGTTTGAACCCCTCCTTGGTGCTGTTTGTCTGCCTGTGACCTGACAAAACTGATTGTGTGGGGATGGAAAAGAAAAAAAAAAAAAGAAATGCTTTCACACACAAATATTTGGGTAACAGCATTTAGAAAAGTGACACTCCTCCCTGCAGGTGTCGGGGCAGCAGAGCCAGGGAGCAGGACCCTGTTTTTCCAAGGAACTGACACTGCCTGTGCAGGGGGACAGTCCTTGATTAGGGAATAGCAGTTTGGATTACTCCCAGTAAGCCCTTTTCAGGGGATTATCAACATTTAGCAAGATGACCAGGTCCTGTAATCAAGCTCCAGCGAGTGAATAAATTACCTTAACGAGGCAGTGACAGCAAAGAGCTTCTCCCTGGGCCAGACACCCACAGAGGAGCTCGGAGCTGTGGATGTGCAATTATCCCTCTTTTACAGAGTTTCCCCCACACTCAAGACCCAAATATTCCTAAACTTTGCTCCATTATTAATGCAAGATCCCAGGAGACTCAGCTGGCCCAAATCCCATTGGAAGTCCCAGCTGCATCCTATATAATTCCTTAAGAAAATAAAAGCTTTTCCAGGAAACACATGCAGGTTCCCACCCCTCAGCTCTCTCAGTGTGCACAATATTTATGGTTTAACACTTCATCCATCTCTCAGAGGAAAGGCAAGGGGAATATTCCTCTTCCACCCAAGTCAGGGGAGGGTTAGGTTGGATTTTGGGGAAAGGTTCCTCCCCCAGAGGGTGGTCGGGCAGTGGGCACAGCTTCCCACATTCCAGTGCTCTGCCCCTCAACTCCAGATTGCAGTTGGTGGCGTGACAGGAAATGATCTGCTCTACCTTCCAACAGCAGAAAGAAGGTGTTCCAGTTCTGGCTGCTGAAACAAGGCAATGTCAGCAGGGAGAGCAACCTCTGCCCAGCACATCCTAAACCAGAAACCTCAGTGGCTCCAGCTCTGGGGTATTTTGAAGCAGCAAAGCAACTGTGAGCGCAGCAGCCCCTGCCCAAGGGAGCAGCTGTCCCCTCCCAGCCCCAGGGCACTCACTTGGAGAACCTCTCGGCCAGGGCCGAGGACTTGTTCCTGTTGACCAGGGAAAGCTCCTTGGCGGTGATTTTCAGAGACTGGGAGGCCCATTGCCTTCTGCTGAACGGGGAAGGCTCCATCTTCTCTCCCCAGATCCCTGCCAGGAGGAAGGAACGGTGTCAGCAGCAGGAAGGGTGAGCAGGGAAGAAGCTGCACGGAGCGATTCATTCCCGTCCCCACGCAGGTGCTCCCAGTTCCACCCGTCCTGACCCCGCAGGATCCCCTCCATCAGCTGCCTTAAAAGAGCCAGCAGATGACAATTATGATTCCCTCTGCAGATGCCATTGAGGTGGTGCCCTGATAAAGCCTCCAGCCACATCAGAGGGGGCGAGAGGGGCCGGAGGATTCCGGAGGGACGCTCGTGTTTCCCACACACAGGAGCTCCAGGAAGCCCCAGTGCTGCCCTCAAACCAAACCTGCTGGCATTTATGTAAGAGGGCTCGAGTTATGAAACTAAGAGGATGTAATTCCTGTGCAAACATTTGTCATTCACTCCCGGTTCGCTCTCGGTTTCCTCTGTGAGCGCAAGACGAGGCTCGTGTTCACCCTCCTGTCACAGCAGTGACCAGAATGGCACTTCAATAACACCAGTTACCTCGAGAACAGCTCTCACCACCTCCCCCACCCTGCTGGAAACGGGATTTTGTCCAGCTTTTCACCACACCAGATTTATTTTTTTACACACTTGGTTCTCTTTTGTGGAGGAGGAAAGGAGGGGAGATTAATTTAAAGAGCTCTCTGATAAGACAAAAATAAGGCCTGTAGGGAAACGCCTTTCCTTTTTTTCCTCTTTTCTTTTCTCCCTGGTCCCATGTCACACAATGCCTGTGGCAAGGGCACGAACTGACCCTGCAATGCCAACTGCTGGGGCTGAGCTCTTCCTTGCATTTTCCATTAATTCCTTTAAGGGATTTGCACAGTCACAGAACTCTGGATCCAGTCTGGCTCCAGGTCTGAGCCCAGCTCTGCTGGGCAACTGGTAAAGGGAAACACCTTCAGGCAAGAGTGGATCAAAGGGAGGAATGACGACGTTCCCAAAATCCTCACAGGTATGGAATGCACCTGCTCAGAAACGACTTGGGATTCTGTGACGCCTCAGGCCAGGAGAATCCACCTGCATGGGCAGAGCCCGCAGTTCCCAGGGCTGGAATGGGAGCCCTGGGAGCAGAGGAGCCTCTCCAGGCTGGAATGGGAGCCCTGGGAGCAGAGGAGCCTCTCCAGGCTGGAATGGGAGCCCTGGGAGTGGAGGAGCCTCTCCAGTGCTGGAATGGGAGCCCTGGGAGCAAAAGAGCCTCTCCAGGCTGGAATGGGAGCCCTGGGAGTAGAGGAGCCTCTCCAGGCTGGAATGGGAGCCCTGGGGCTGGCACTGGGAATGGAGCAGCCTCTCCAGGCTGGAATGGGAGCCCTGGGAGCGGAGCAGCCTCCCCAGCCCTGCTCCTGCCCAGAGACAGAGCAGGCAGCAGGTGAACACGGGCTGTCCTGGGGATGCACCCAGGGAGAACAGGCCTTTCTCTCACATTCCACAAGTCCCCTGATGTCCTGGAGAGAACGGCGTGGCCGTGCCAGGACATGTTTTCTCCAGGCAGTGATTCTGATGGAGCTCTCAGACGTGCAGGTCGAACCACGGAGGCAAACAAGCGGCGCTGGTTTCGTGGGGATGTTGAAACACCCTGAAAACACTTATCAGCGCTGCCTTTCCAGGTGCAGCCACCTGGAAGGCACCCAGAGCCCCTTCCAGTCGGCAAGAGAACCTCAGACTGCAGTTGCTTTCTGAAATTCCTGCTTTTCTGAGCACATTTTGCATCAGCAAGTCACCCCTCGTCCGTCCCCCTGCGCCGAGAGGAGGATGCTCTGCATTTGTCTGCCCTTTGACAGCTGCACAAATCACCACCCACAAAGACAAGGGGGCTCATTTCCCTCTTCTCCCCCTTTACAAAAATCCCCCTGCCTGCACAAACGAACCAGTATTCCCCTGACTGCAGAACACACACACACACAGAGACCACAGACAGAACCTGCCACCCGAAAAAAAAAGTCCCACAGGAAGAATTCTGTCCTCGCCAAAACCCCGGTGCTGAATGAGCCGTGCCACACCACAGCCTGAACTTTGTTTTATGACTAATCTGGAGCCAAAGGGAGCTCACCTGAGGCCCCACTGCAGTTTTAAATGGCCTTTCACAAGCACAGTCGGCCGTGCCCGGGGAAACAGGAGCGGGGCATTCACGGGAGCTCCCTTGGCACAGGGAACAGGTGCCCATTGACACACGGAAGGACAGTTCAGTGAAACGCTGGGAAACAAGACCGAGGGCAATTGTTCAGAAAATAACCCTAATTTGGATGCCTGAGCATCCCCAGTGCAGCTCCAGCCATCCCAGTCTGGGGCTGCATCTCCTCCCCCCTTGGGTTTTTGTGTTTCTCTGCCATTTCCTCCATCACAGCCACGGGTACTTGAGCCAGTCAGGCCTGTTTTGGCAAAAATCTCTTTGGAAAGGCAGCACCTGCTGCTGGGACCTCCAAATGAAAAGAGAAGCAGCGTATCTGGAATCTCAGCTGCTAGAAACGACACAAAACAGAGCCCTGAGATGCCTTGAAACTCGTGCTCCCACATTTTTTTTTTTTTTTACACCATTCCACATTCTTAGGGCCTTCTCATTCATTTTACAGTTTTGGTGTGTTCCAGCATCTCTGGGCTTGCTCTGCTGCTCCTTCTGAGTGATTTATTCCGAGTCACTTCAGGAAACACACATTAAAATTTCAACAAGACCGTGAGCATTCTGCAAGGGAGACGGGACACGTGGGAGGTGGCACCGAGCGCAGACGAGATGGAGGAGGGGACGGGGATGCCAGAGGTGTGCCAGATGTTAGGGAAGGCAAGGACTGTGATTTAGCCCACCTTAAAGCACCGAATCCATCCCCCTCCCCACCATA